GGAAATTGCGCCAGCGAGAAGAATACGAACCTGCCTCCTTTGAGTTGGACATCGCAGGTGGTCGGTGAAATCAAAATCTCAACTCTGGTGGTCGAGCACTCTGCTGTGTATGAGCTCCAAGTTGGGGATCTGAGTGAACCGAAGAAGCACACCAGCGATCATGCCGGGATAACGTCATGGTGACCATTTGGTAAACAGAGCTCCAGGGACTAACGAGTTTCAGCCCAGCTGCGTGATACTGATAATCAATTGATAAGAATCATGTTATGTCCTCGAATTATCCATGTGCCAAACGTATTAGAAAGAAAAACGTGAAGCAGTGAAAGTGATGTCATTAGATGGGCATAGTGCTAGCGCTCGCGCAGGCCAAGGCCCCGGGTTTTGTAACAATGTCCGCCCGAACATTTGCTCCTCCGAGTCTTTTCCTTATCTCTGTTTCACTGGTCAAACATCTTCTCGTCGTGTGGACCTGACACATCTGATCAAGCCAAATTGCAATACCGAATACTGAGCAATACTGTTACATTCGTAGGTACGCAACTGGGCCCCCACCTCCGATGCTTGTGTGATCCTATGCCGTACGATCAATGATCTTACTCAAGAAAGCCCGGAACACATCCCGCCTCACCCTATCACCCCTCAACTCGTCCTGAGCACCAGGCTCCGGTACCAACTCGATCATCGCATTAATCTCCGCCACCGTGTTCTTCGAATACTCATCGTAGCGCTTGGGAACGTTCAGCCCTTGCTCGTTGTTGTACATGTCCTTCACAGCTTGCTCCTTCACAGCCTGGTCCGCACCCCTCTTCCCGTAGTTCTCATACAGGAGCTGTTTCTGCACTTCGGTGCCAGACGTGAGTGCAGTGCACACGCACCAGGAGCATTTGCCATCGACGATGTCCGTGCCGATCTTCCCGATCTGTGCCTCTGTGCCGTGGTAGTCGAGGTAGTCGTCTTGCACCTGGAAGAACTCGCCCATGGGAATGAGGATGCGGTCGGCTTCTTTGTACGGCTCGACAGTCTTTCCGTCGAGCTCGTATACGTCCGGGACGCCACACATGCGCATGGCGAGCGCAACACTGAGATAGAAGGAGTAGTAGGCTGTTTTGTACCGTACAATGAAAGTATGTTTGGGGAGGGTGTATTTGCGTATGTCGACGTTGCTTTCGGGGGCAGTGATCTGGTCGACGAGCTGACCCATTTCGGTCTTGTATGTTACCTGGGTAATTGGGTCAGAGGCGCCATGAGATGAAATGAAATGGTTTCGTGTGCACCTCCTGGAACAACTCCAACAAATCAACATAATAGCTCTCACATCTGAAGTGGTTCTTGAGGATGTGGTAGATGGCGCCCTCAAGCATGCATGAGTCGTTGACGGCGACGTTATGTACCTTTCCGAGACCCTTGACATCAGGGACACGGTACCAGCAGGGCTGGCCGCGGCGCGAGATGGAGCCATCCATCATGTCATCGGAAACGAGGAAGAACGCTTGAAGCTATCGGGGAGTGACTATGAGGGAAATAGCGGAGAAAAGAGGATGGGGAACATACAAGCTCGATACACCATCCGAGGAGGGCAGCTTTGAAGTATTCGTCTTCAGTTGGAGGGCGGTTTAGAAGGATTGCGACGGTGTCGACGACGGATATGCCGCGATTAAGTTTACCTCCAGGGACATTGTAGATGAGGTTCTAGTGGAACGGAAGTGTCGAAAAGACAAATCGCCACAAGGAGTGACATAAGGAGATACCAGTGAGATGCGGCAATATTGATTGCAGTCCCACCAAGTCGTGAACATTGATAGTATTCAGTGGAACACATAAGTAGTTACCTCGTTGAACCACGCTATGGCGTCCTCAGGCATCTTCTCGGACTTCATATGTGCAACCAGTTCTTCGCGGATACGCTCAAATACTGCAAGAAACTTGTTCCGCATATCTGCTGCATACATTGTGTGCGTGTGAGTACTAGGAGTGGGATAGAACTTTGACGCTGATGTGCAAGGTGAAACTGGGGTAGGGAATGATGAACTCTTGGGAGTGAAGGAGACAGCGTCTTTAATATCTGATTGAAATGAGACCACTTTCGAATTTGAGGAATTGCTGTGTGGAACGCATCGTTCCGCGCTCGATGCGCGAATGATAATTTACTCGGCGATCAGGAGATCTGTATGCCAGTGGTGTATCGGCCGAGTGTCCCGAACCTAGGAAGGGATTGTTACCCTTGAGCCGGGTGGCATGATGGTAAAAATGTGAGCATATCCTTGTTCCCGAGTCTAACGGAACCAGGGAAGTAAGGTCTTCCCGGCCTGCCTTTATCATCATGACGTGTAGCATTTTACCGGGACCGAGAGAATTGTGCATCTTTGATAGGAAGAACGGAAGGCTAGTAAACTAAACTCAAATGATCGCCACGCACTGGAGTACTCACCAGTCATCATTCTCCAAATAGTATTCGAGCAATGCAAAATGGAATCGCAAACTGTCCAGGCATGCGTGGTGCTGCGTGGTGTGACTGCTTGATCAAATATCGAGACCACGCGAGCCAGCAAATTAACTTGAAGTGAGCACCTACAGAAGGCCTCATGATCAGATATCATGCTCTGCCAGTTGTGCTCTGGGCGGGAAATCCTCGAGCTCCGAGTCCGAGAACACGAACAGTTTCAAATGAACCTATTTGGTAAGACAGGATAGAAGCGACATTTCTTGTTTTGGCCCATCAACTTGAATAGAATGGGCCAGGCTCATGTACTATGTGAAGCTCTGAACTTCGCTTAGGCTGATACGCTCGCATTCGAAATGACCTGAAGCTACTTAAAGGTCGCCGATCTCTATAGTATGGACTGAACATTTTCAATAGATGCAATCACTCAGATTCACTGCCTTCCTCCCGGCATGGCCAGTTGCAGGTCGACCACCGTGTGCTCGAATTCGAGCTGCGGGGGGGCAATTCGTTTGCCCGCCTGCGACTCTTGGATGGGATTGGAATGCTGGTAGGTATCAATGACATCATTGCGTCACGGCGACCGTCAGCCTCTTGATTGCCCGTGTATAAGAATCCCGCCATCTCTGTTTCCCCCCCATCACGCTCTCTGCCCTCTTCTTGGTTCTTGTTTCCCCTTTTACACTGTCCTAGCACGTACCATCCCTCTTCCACCATATGATTATTCGCCTGTCTCTCCCTTGCATCACGATGAAGGCGTCAGGTATGTACCAGTCGCTAGCTCGTCTAGTGACTACCCGCCAACTAAAGTGTTCTTTCCGCAGTGTCATCGACCCATCATTCACTCTCAAGGAGCATGACTAGTACGCTTCGGTGTTCCGGTGCATATTGTTCGCTGAGATTCCTTAGATTCCCACTGATGTCTCATCTTGTGAGTCATTTCTCATAGTGGCTGACTACTATTCTTGCTGCGGTCGGTGAGTTCTTTTTTGCCTGAACGGCTGACGCGTGCGGTGGTCACAGGAGCGCGCCTGGTGCATGTTACAGCGCGCGCGAGTCTGCCGTGGGTCATGTGCAGTAGGCGTGAGCCTGAGGCTGTCGTTCGCGAGGGGGTAGTAATTAGCTCGAGGTGAAAGGTGAGTGTTTGGAAATAAGTATATGCCTGACTGTCTGTCCCCCTCCTTCGTCTCCGTCGTACGCGTGCCGTTTCGTTCGTGCCCTTGGCCACTCGCTCCGTTCGCCTCTTATCTCGATCTTTTCTGCGCAAACACCGTTCCACGATTCTACGCTTGAAGGACTACGCACCACTCGCACCCGATCATGCGACGCTCCGTCATTTGCTGCAAGACGCCCACTTTCTGTACTCGCCACCACCGCACATTCGATTTTTTACTCGCGCGCTCGATTCAACGTCGTCATCGTCCTCACCGATATATCGTATGGTTATCATTCGCATCTTCTTCTTCGTTATATTATCTCCATGTTGTTGCGCTGACCCACATTTTCGAGCTCACCTTGCGGATCCAAGGTGCGTCTCTGGGCTTGTGTTTGCAGGCACAACACAGGTCCATAGACGTACTTTGGTGTATGTACGCAGTGTTTTACCTGCGGTTAGAATGGTTCGTAGACTGCTGATCACTCTTCGCCAAATGATGGTTCCTGAGCTCAGGTGAGATAATCATCTGCCTTGCAAAAAACATATAGTCTGCGCTGTGGGGGTATTGATCGGGCGAGGCAGAACAAAGGTGCTCATTTCACACTAGACTTTGTTTTCCTGCTCCCTACTCGCCGTCGTTTGACATCTTGCACTGAGTAATCCTCGTGGATCCGAGGTCAGTATGGATAATGGGACTATGCCTCCTTATACGCCTGTAGACATGACTTAGATTTTATTCTTCCTCCTATGGCACTTAGTGTTGTTCGTTATAGCTCCTTACACTGAACTCAACCGCGGAATGACAAGGATTTCGTGACTTCACTGGGCAACGTTGATCGATCCAGCCACTTGTATCGAATCCTGAATCGACGAGAACAGAGGGAGCAAATCGATAACAGCTGCTACAATCGTAATGCATATATGCCATATATACCAGTGATATCGTTGATTTCTATAACGCCCGAAATGTCAAGGAAGTTATATGTAGCAGCTCTGGTAAGGAAAGCATCCTCAATGTCTCGCGACCGTACCACGTACGAAGGCGCACTCCAGCTGAGCCGTTCGACAGTCTGGGACTTGCGGTAGACTCCTGCAACCAGGACCTTCAAGGTCGCATCACAGGGGGACAATAGTGCGAGTCCGGAATGAGTTGGAAAAGTTCGAGGTCGTGAATGCAAAATCTACTTATGGGTCAGTTTAGGGCCGGTCGTGTTGAGATACTGCTCCGAAGGTTTGAGCCAAACCAAAGAATTATGAGTAAGTACTGAAATTATGAATCACTCGGCCGTGGCAAATTGGCGTAGTAAATACTAATGTAGTGGTAAGGAACATCCAGACGCTATGCTACGCCCAAAGACTACAGTTGACTTATTGGAGGACGAGCATAACATCCGCATGTATAATTTAATTGAGGGAGTTGATAGTAGCCTCCTGGCAATCCAGGGCCACGCCATTTCCCATCTTCTTGTAGCACAGGGGGTAGGAGCTAACGAGCAATGTCAACCAACTTAGAGGGATAGAAAGGAGAGAACTCACTATTCAGAGGTCTTGGCAGCCGAGCCGCAGGACAAGCCCACTGGGCCAGTAACCGAAGTGTCCTCTTTCATCATTGCGAGCAGTGTCGGGATGAAATCGTCGCCCGCCTTCAGGACTCTCCGGCAGTAGGCCAAGGTGTAGTCAGAGGAGCACGACTCAGCGCGACGAGCCAGAGATGGCGGCTTAACATTTGAAGACGAGGCATTTTCCGGGTCAGTGGGAATGACAACACTGGTTGCAGACGAACGGAGTTTCAAGCCTTTGGGGGATGAAGACTGGGTGAGCTTGGGGGAAATGGAAGGCGACGCTCCCGGGTCAACTTACCATTGGCACCAAGAGCCTTGACAACGCCCTCGACTCTAGACTGCATTTGAGATGGGTCGGCATGCCTAGGCACTGGGCTCTTTGGTTGAGCGCGAGGAGTACGGGGGAAAGACTTTACACCACTGGGGAGCTTGGGGGTAAAGGTGTTGGGTGTCTTAACCTTGCCTTCGGCCTGAGAAAAGCCTTGCGGCGCCACGGGGATGGTGCTGCGAACAGCTGGAGTCTTTGAGGCGTCAGTTTTGGGAAACAGGAGGGAAGGGAACAACCTTGTGTACTTACACTATAGTCGTTGCTACCATCGATGATGTCGCCGCCGCCGTTGTTGTTGTTGCCGGCGTTGGCGCCGCCCCTGATGAGGCCGCTGGGGATGGGGATGTCGCCACTGCCGATATTGCTGTCGCCGGTGTTGGCGACGCCCCCGATGAGGTCACTGGGGATGGGGATGTTGCCACTGCCGATATTGCTGTCGCCAGTGTTGGCGACGCCCCCGATGAGGTCGCTGGGGATGGGGATGTCACCACTGCCGATATTGCTGTTGCCGGTGTTGCCGACGCCCCCGAGGAGGGCGGGGGTGGGAAGGGCAACTGCAAAAGCAGCAGTGACGAGGATCAAAAGAGCGGACTTCTTGAACATGTTGAACGAGTGTGGGTGGATGGTGATCTGGACTGGTAGCAGAGCGAAGGAGACTGGAGTGTATGCTAAGCCGAAATAAGGGTTTTATATGCTTCGCATGATTGTAACGCGACCCTTTAGAAATTTCAACAAGAAATTGATCCGATCTAGAAGGACAGATTCCGGAATGAAGAATCACGTACTTTTCGACAATCGGTCAAGAATCTGGTGGCTGGGCACCAGATGCTGGCTTAACCTCAACGTTTCATATATACAAAGCACCTTTGAGGCACTAGTACTTTGAGGCGAGGCGGTCAGTTTGAAAATGCAACTGTGCTCGCACCAGCGACAAAGGAAATAAGTATGTGACGTCATGTTACTCATGAGAGCCGAAACCGTAAAACACCGTGTCGGCATTCGAAGGTTGTCGAATTCCAGTCGAACAAAAAAGGTACTAGCACGACATGACGCACCTGTCGCCTACTGTCGCACGACCACCGACAACGATGGGATAGCATTGTATAAATGCACTCAACGCGATGTTGATCTAGTCAAATACGCTTGGGCGACAGAGACTAAGATTTTAGGCTTTGAGCTCAGTGCAGTGTAGCAGAGAAGCCTATTATTGACGACAATAAGTAACCCGGATCACAACCGCTGAGCGCTAGTCGGTACAAAGTCATCCTACACATACAATCCAAGGTTTGAAACACGTCGTGAGCAGTTCGGAATATGGGTTCGAAGTTCATCAGCTGGCCAGATACGTCCACATCCGTCGCATGTCTCTGCGTCTTCATGTACAGAAAAATCATCGAGTTTCATGTTGACTATACCCTGTAGCAACTCGTCACATGAACTCTGTGGAGTCGATATAATGGTGTTTTGTCCTAAGGGTAGGAGGGTACCTCTCAGTTAGCAGCGGGGAGAATTTGTGACGCGTGGCTCACTGCTAGCATTATGTCGATGACTCTGCGAAAAATACGCGCCTGATTGAACTCCGGCAAAGTGGGCATCATAAACATGCATGGGCGCTGGTTGAATGTCGGTGGGCAGAAGCAAGTCTTGCGAAGGTCGATTCACCAAGAGCCTGCTAATGTCATTTAAACAATGCTTGTCAACGCGGTAATGTGTGTTCCGCTTAACTTACGATGGGTGAATATTGAGCGTTTTCCGCTCTGCATGATGGTTTCTATCAGTCGTTTGTGCCAAGCGAACGGGTGGCATGCAAGGTGTGCCGTGTGTCTGCATGGCGGTTGACTATCAGGATGTACATGGATGCATGTGTCATGAGAGCCATCGACCCTCCAGCATCCATATCTCGGCTTAATAGCGGACCGAGCCTGATGTAAATGGTGTGGCAGGTGGCAAGTTGGCAAGTTGGCACCAAAGATAACCTGCCCTGCCACCTTCGTGGTAACCGTTGGCTGGCTGGCCGGTCCAGACAAGGTCCAGAGAATCTCTCATTGCTCACTTGCCTTATTAGGACTGCTGACATAACGGTGTCGCGTCTAGCTTGCGCGTCGATTAACCTGCTCTACCAACTCCACCATGGACCACTTTCCAACTAACTGGGGTCGTCCAGTAAGTGCCATGAGTTGAAACCAGAGTACAACACTGAATTCTGATCTTGTAGAGAAACGACGCTTTTGATGCATATGCCACATACCCCATTCACCAGAGACCAAACAATGGTCCCAAGGATACTTTCGCTGATGGCGTACAGCGAACACAGTGATTCTTGTTAATTCCCTCTCGTTTCCTTCCATCTGACTTGATGCATAGACAACCAATAGTGACTGGATCGAGCGTGCTGGCGATCAAGTACAAGGATGGTGTCATGATGGCCGCTGACAATCTCGGTATCTTCACTTTCAGTCATTCCGTACATAGGCTCATGTATTTTTTAACAGCATCATACGGCTCCCTCGCTCGGTTCAAGGATGTACAGCGTCTGCACCAAGTCGGCAACTATACTGTCATCGGTGCAGGAGGCGACATGTCGGACTTCCAGTATATTCAATATATCCTTGAGGAGCTGTCCACCGAGGAGATAGCAGCGCAAGATGAACACGAACTCGGTCCTGTCGAGATCCATGAGTACATGTCTCAGGTCATGTACGCCCGTCGGTCCAAGATGAACCCGCTTTGGAATTCCCTGCTTATTGGTGGATTCAAGGACGGCAAGAGGTAATGCGTCTTACATCGTTCTCGAGCAGGGCTCAACTACTTTCAAGGTTCTTGTCGTACGTTGATCTGTTGGGTACGACGTATTCTGCCTCCACACTTGCTACTGGGTATGGCGCTTTCATCGCCCAACCACTGCTACGTAAGGCAGTTGAAGGGAGGGAGGACGTCTTGACTGAAGAAGAAGCACGGAAAATCCTTGAGGATAGTATGCGCGTGCTATTCTACAGGGATGCCCGAAGTTTGAACAAGGTTCATTTCAAAAATGATGTCGTTATCACATTGCCAACTGACTTCTTTTCAGTTCCAAATTGCCACCATCTCTAGCGCAGGAGTGTCTATCAGCGATTCGATGCAGCTCGAGACTGCATGGTCATTCGCAGAAAGCATCAGGGGTTACGGTGCCCAGACACAGTAGCTTTCATGCATGTATCATCAAGTCTAATTCAACACCCTTGAAAATCTACAAGACATGTAAAAGTTTAGCGGAGTCCTGCAGGACTACCTATGATTACTGAGGGGTGCTGGCTCCTCCGCAGAAACTGAAGGCTTGAAGGTATTTCAATGGCCCTGTCACGTCTGAATCCATCCACTGTCCAGAGTGCGTCGCTGATATAGCATGTAAGTCCGCGGTCAAGTTACCGGAGGACAGCACTTACAATTGGGTGGGCTCGAACAGTGCACGTCCAAGAACAAGAGCACTTGACCAACTGTGCTGCTTGTCTGGGTGACTATCGAGCTGACGTTGCCAACCAACTCTGAAGGGACTGGCGTGCACGCGCATGGCTCACTATATCCCTGATCCGTCTCGAATGTTGAGCCATCGCAATTCGGCTGTGAGCTTAACAAAATGCTGAAGGGTGAGCTCGTTTCTGAATATGAGCACGTCGCGAGTGCCGAAGTAACGAACACGAGGGCAGCAGGAAGTGTGAACTTCATGATAGCCTAGAGGAAATTCATCGCAGTTAGTGGAAATGCCACACCACAGATGCCCATAGTCTTACTGGTGATGATTTTTTTTGACACGGTGTATGTGGGTGGTTGATCCGCAACCTGCCTGATCAACGTGACGGACTAAATAGACACGGGCTTGAGCAATGCGCTTTAATGCCTCTTCGGGTCCCGCATAGAACTTCACGAGTTAAGCTCCTCGGGTTGGACCAGAAAATGACTTGTGTCATGCTTCAGTATCGTATATGATGGCAGGCTCCTGCCAGGACTGTTGACTGTGAGCCATCAGCTCAACACTTGGTTTTCCGCATATCGTGCACCGTCGCGCTTTAGGATGGAGGATCCTAAAATTCTTACAACACAGACATCGAAAGTGAGAAGCAGGGCTGCTGCTGTTAGGTAAAAGAAAGGGAAAAAAGGGTAATAACCCCGAAAAAAAAATCGAAAAGGAAATGACACCAGTTCCCGTCACCACATTACCTTCATCGATGCAGCTGAAACGGCAGGACGAAACTCTTGAGAGTCTAGAAGCCAAAGAACGTATGGTCTTAGCACGATGCCCATGACCAATGATGAAATTAATGTATCTCTATTGTCATCTTCATATGCTACCTGTCTGGTTCGAGCTTATGGTACGGCGGCGGTGGATCCCCTCTATCACGATGTTGGTAAGCTGGCTCCGGCGCTATACGATCTGCATGAGAGACGTTTGATGCAGAGTAGTAATGCCGCAGGTGGTTCGTGTGGCGCACGTCTGATATCGAACGGGGGGTTGTTCCGTGTTGCATGTGGGGAGGTGGTGCCGTACTGTCATGAGGAATGTCCCCTGTCGAACGCGAAGGATGGAGTATGCATTCGTGCCTCTCGGAGGGAGAGCGGGGATTGGATCGTTTGGCTTCCTGTGCAGTGCCAGAGCGCTGTGTAGTATTTGTAGGGTGATTATTATTAGCAGAGCGTATGGAAGAGTTTGACTGCTGCTGGCGGGGGATTCGCGAGGAGGGCCCCGCGAGGGGAGATTGGGCAATGTGCATGGACGAGTTGGATGGCCTGCGTGGAGGTCGTGAACGGGAATCTTCGGGAGAACGCAAAGATGTATTGGATGGCTGGCGGGAGGCAGTTGGGATAGGCAACGGGCGCATATGGATATGTGAAGAAGAATTTGGACCGACGGGCGAACGTGTGAAGGATGCCTCGGTTGGAGACGCCACCGAGTTATTCCGCCAGGATATGTCTATGACAGACAAAGGATTCACCCGTGGTGCGGGATTGGCGTCCGCAAACGGCCGGGGCCGTGCATCTTGCCCTGCAATCAAACCTCGCTTCCTGCGTCGGAACCTTACCACAGCAAAGCACAGAGTAGCAAGGATCACAGTCCCACCAACTGATGCGCACACAGCAACGATGATCGTGTCTTGATGGCTTATCTTTACACCGCCACTTGATCGTGCTGTAAGGGTCGTTCTCCCCACCCGTTCCTCCCGATTCCCAACATCACAAGACACTCCACTAGCATCGATGACTTCTACAAGGTCGGTCGTACGTCCAAATACACCAGACCTTTGGAACGAGACAAGGTTAGTACTAGTGGGATCCAGTGAGGGTAGATGAAACCACTCACGAATCACGCACGGCAGCTGTAACGGGAAACAAATTACACAGGCTCACCCTCAATCAATAATCTCAGTCGCCGAGGATTCCGACGCACCTATGGTAGGTCCTCTTAGTGCTATGCCGCTATTAATAAACGAAACGCTGGATTCTTGTGGCACAGTGAATTCCTGCAGAAAGGGGGCTCCGGGCGATGCGAGTATAATAGTGTATGGTGGGACTCCGCCTGAGATGGACAAATGCCAGGAATCGCAAGGCTCAATATGAGTGGCATTCGT